GGTGCACAATCTAAGGTCCCTAACTCACATTCATACATACACATACTAGGGCCAATTTATACAAGATCCAATTAACCTACCAGCATGTCTTTGGAGGGTGGGAGGAAACCAGAGTACCTGGAGGAAACCCACACAGGCACAGGGAGAACATGCAAACTCCAGGCAGGTGGTGCCGTGGCTGGGATTCAAACCAATAACCCTAGTACTGCCAGGCGGAAGTGCTAACCATTTAGCCACTGTGCTGCCCACTATAATACAATACCCTGCACACTCATATGCATAAATGATGATACAAAAAAGCATCAGTGTTTACAAGAGTACAGCCCTGTACAGCCATTTAATAGTATGGCTGGCTGTACAACCCACCTGCAGCTCCTGGGAATAGGAAAATGCCTGAAATTTTGTGCTCAGCAATTTTTATGCCTCTCACCATCCTTGTGCAGGATGTCTTATATAGAGAGCATGCAATATTTGCTGAGCAGTTCAGTTTTTTTACCAAGGCATTGTTCTATTGTGCCAATCCACCCATCTCCCTGTTATCTGCAATCTGGTTATCCTGGACCACTTTTGTTGGTTATCCTAGATCATTCTTCATACTACACCTCAAATAGATGCCAGTATTAAGAATTTTGGCACAGCCACCAATTGAATCTATTTTAGAAAGAAGTTTTCACGTAATTGGTGATGCAGAAAGCAGGCAAACAGAGAAAGTTACACAGCTCAGTCTTCAGGACTAACACTTCCATACCCCCCTATTGACATTCTTTAGAGTATATGTTCTTATACTGCAGATTAAAGAGATCTCAAATTAAGGTATATTGGTTAGGTATTCCATTTGTACTGGATAGTATTAGATGTCTATGTTAGTTTTCACTTATTGCTTACATTTACTATTTACATTATATTTAGCAATTTGCACCTTTATATGTTCATAGAACAACAAATGCAACCTAAATCTTTTCAATTAAGGATTGTACATTTTCCCCCTGGAGTACAATCTTGGACTGATTGATTGACGGGTTGAACTGTGGTTACTGCGTCAAGTTAATGAACAGTGAATGTGTACAGATGTGCCTGACTTGAGTAGTAATCCAGAAACCTCTAAACTGGAGACAGGCCACCCAGGAGCTGATCTTGACACAGAGAATTATTGGACAGTAAGTGAGATGATAGCTCTGGAGGCTTAGTTACATTTATACATAGGATCCCTTATGTTATCTCTCCTGCTATGCCCATGAAGAAATTCTCCAGGTTAATGTCAGGAGCTGTCACAAAGATCATAAAACAGCTTGCTCAGATATTTACCCCATCACTGACAGTTTGACAAGAGAGACACTGTTGGGAATTGTTAAAGACTTGTTTAATGATTTAGGGGAAAAAATGTTGTTTATTTTCTTGTTATATGGTAAATGAATATGTACTGAAGACTGAGGTTACAGTCTGCTGACAACGTATGCAGATTTATATTCATTTATAGCTTTGTCATCATTCCAGTCTAACCTATCCATAGTAAACTCATAATCTTCACTGAAATATATTGTTAATCCCGAGTGTCATGGAAGAAATCTTACACCAGCAAGTAGGATTACAATCTACTAGTAGTTTTAAAGTATTCAGGAAACAGATCTTCCAATGGGACCTACACCTCTGATGCAACGGTTTTATTAAGAAACCTTGCTTTACTCCCACTTTATAAGGATTCATTGTAAATAAATATTACAGTACGGTTTGTTTTTTTTTATAATAAATGTTTATGTGAAGATATAAAATTGGTGCTAAAATATCATTTAAAAATATACAATAAAAATATACAATGATTTAACTAACTAAATATTAAATATGATCCCACTACCCTATCAAATTAATATTAAAACTGATTTGTGGCCACTCTGGTAAAGTTAGAGTTATATTTCTGATGTCCATTTATGCCAGAAAATGTATTTATTATCTTTGAATTTTTTATCCTATTGACAGCTCAGCAGGAATTGCCTGTGATCACTTTGCACAGATGCCCCTGGAAGTTAAAGCAGCGCAGCTTCTGTCACCATCCATGTCTTATACACAATAACATCACATTAAAGCTGGCCTTACCCTAGTTACCTAACACGCTACGTTTTTTGTAAAGGTTGTGGGTATATAGCACCACCCTAAGGGGCCATTATAATTATATGGCCCAATTGAGGGGCATGTAGTGATACTAGCCTTCCAAGCACTTGTATATTTCACATACTTATATGTAGCGCCTATCTATTTATATTACATATTTGTACAAGCATGGCTATCTACCATATTATGGGCTATATATATTTTTTTATTTTTCACATTTGAAGCCTTAAATAATAATTTTTTTATTTACCCTAGTAAAATTTAATTCCAAATATTTTTTATTTAAATAGCATCTGTTTTATTTTATAATCTTTAGTGGGTTCAAGTTGACATTCATTTTTTCGACCGCAATTTTGAGAAAATTCATATGAACAGGATGGAAAATGTTTTCACAAACAAAAAAAATTTCTAACAGTGTGTTTGGTGTTCACTTGGGAAACTACACTCATTCCAAACTCTAATGCTAAAAGCAAATGACATTTTTTGAAGCAATTTCAGACGACATTCGGAAAGTCATCATCTGTACTGAAAATCTTTATAGGAATGTTCCTGCAAATGTTTGCTTGAACGGTCATTCAAAAATCTACTAGAGTATGGCCAGCTTTACAGGCCATGTACTAAGCTGTCCATAGATAGTGTGGTTTCCTAAATCCCTTACCCAGACCAGTGTCTTTACTCTGCAGCCAGAAAGTTTCTTGAACAGAAACTAAACCCAGTAAAAGGAAAAAAGTTAGCATGATGATAACATTTTCAGAAAAAAAAACTATTTCAGGTAGATTATATTACATTTTCTTGGTGGCTGCAGTTCAACAGTTGATATATTTTGTAGCACAGTGGATAGTTGATTATGCAGACCACAGAATCACTGAATTGCCACCAGGGAAACAATCTGGAATTCTCCACATGTGTATGTTGGTTTCTCCCATATTCCAAAGCATACTGACAAGTTTATTGGTTTCAGTCTAACACTGACCCTAGTGCGTGTGTATGTGTCGCTATGTATAACTTTAGTAAGGAATGTTACCGGGCAACAGGTACTCTTCTACATATATGGTGGGAATGCCCGCTGCTGCAGCCCTTCTGGAGAAAAGTTTTGGACATAATCACACAAGTAACTACATACACCCTAGACTTTACCCCAGCACAATGTCTACTCCATCACTCCTCACTTCCTGTGAGGACTTATCGTAAGTCGCTTGCATTACACATGATAAATGCGGCAAGGCAGTGTATTCCGGTTCATTGGCGATCAGACTATGTTCCCACCATGTGAGAGTGGATTCTTAGGATCATCAGAATCGCGGAAATGGAGGAGCTGATTTCAGTGGCAAAAGAACACCCCGAGAGATTCAGGAAGACTTGGGCTTGTTGGACTCATTTCCAAACTACTGATACTTATCATTGTTTAATGAAGGAATGAGCGAGAAGAGATTTGGAGACACAGAAAGCCTCTAGAACTTTCACCTCAGGAATAGCTCCATTAACAGACTTTAACTGAATTGTATCCCTAATTAAAGATAGAATCTGTTACAGCTTGGCCGATGCTTATTGATGTGACTGGCTTGATGTGACTTCCTTTTCTCCCTATATATTTGTCCCCTATGTTCCCCCCCCAATTATGATATTACCTTTCATATTCTTCCTCCATTCCCGCGCTCGTCTCTTTCTTTTCTTTCTCTCTTTTTCACCTCTTTATTACATTCTAACTAGCTATATTTTTCATAAGGTACAGAGCACTCATAGATGTACAGGTGTAACAATAATCCACAAAACTAACCTATACTTTTTGGATACGGAAACATAGGACATATTTGCCTTGAGATGACACTTTTGTCTTGCACTTCACAGTCCTGTTATTTGAGATCTCCCGACACAAGGATTAGTGTACACTGTATTTCTCAAAATTACATATTGTTATCATTATTGCTATGGTTATATATTATGCATCTGCCTTACTGTAGGACTTTGTTTCAGGATGATCTACAATTTACTTAAATGTCCTGATCCCGTCTGCGTTACGGGAGAACTTATAAGAGGGCATGCGCGGACTGCGATCCGTATCTGTATATGACTTGGTATGCCTTTCATACTTCAATAAAACTTTTTCGGAAACTTTAGTAAGGAAAGATATACAATTACAAGTTTTTATGGAAGTGTATATACAGTAACATGAGCAAATGAATCTACAACTAAATACTGTATGCAGTTCACAAAAAATTCAAGGCCATTTATCTAATAGTCTGTAATCTAAAGGTTTCTTGACCAAAAATGAAAATGAAATGGTGACAGATAAATGGCTTGTAACACTTCTCAATTTTGGAAGACTGCACTACCTAGTAGTTAATCAATACATGTATGCAGATGACTTATATACATAACACTGGTTTAACGTCTTCCTCTTCTCCCTCACGTGAAAATGTTCAAGTCGGACGATTATTTGCTCTGTCCTGACCTCCATGCTGGTAGGAGCACACATGCTCCTCCATACCTGGAAAGATCAGATATTTACTGAGAGCTCCAATGGAATAAATGAGCAGTGAGGGAACGTGGTGTAGGTAAGTAACATTAGTAGATTGGGGGCAAGGTGCCACTTTGTTCTTAATTGGCAAGTGGAGGATTCCCTTTAAAATACTTATAATTTAAAATATTAGGTATTCATATGAACACAATGTTGTCTCTTCTAATCTCAATGTATTTTACAACATTATCATGTTTTTTACTATGTGGCACTTTGATGCTATCAGGGTATGTAGCTGTGAGCACAGGTGTACTTTATATATAGTACTTACCTACTTTAGTTGTTTGCTGTTTTGTCAATGTTGAATTTACAAAATGAAAATTTCTATTAAAAGTTATCATAAATCAGACCATCATGCAGCTTGTGAATTTATATTATATGTCTGTCTCTTTCAGATTCGGATTTGAGTATGCGAACACTCAGCACACCAAGTCCTGCACTAATATGCCCACAAAACCTACATAGCTTTCAGAATGGTAGAGGATCATCAACATCATCATCATCCATCACAGGAGAGACTGTGGCTATAGTACATTCCCCACCACCTACACGTCTTACTCACCCACTGATACGTCTGGCCTCAAAACACCAAAAGGATCATGCAAATATCGACCGAATGCCAGATCAATGCATAATACAAATATTTTCATACCTACCCACAAACCAGTTATGCCGCTGTGCCCAAGTCTGCCGACGATGGTATAATTTAGCCTGGGACCCTCGACTATGGAGGACTATAAGACTAACTGGTGAAACATTAAGTGTGGACAGGGCCTTAAAGGTCCTGACACGTAGACTTTGTCAAGATACACCCAACGTCTGTCTCATGTTGGAGACAGTAATTGTTAGTGGCTGCAGGCGGCTCACGGACCGAGGGCTATACACCATTGCCCAGTGCTGCCCAGAACTGAGGAGACTGGAAGTGTCTAATTGTTACAATATCTCAAATGAGGCAGTATTTGATGTGGTATCATTGTGCCCAAACCTAGAGCATCTGGATGTGTCAGGTAAAGATAATTTCTGTTCTATAGTTATATGGATTTTACAGAAATGAGTTATCATTAAATGTATGCAAAATATTTTGAGATATACAGTACCGCTATATATTCTGAAAATATAAACACATCTATACATTTACAGGGAGATACATCCGTTATTGTATGTATGTATGTATATACTCTGTATGCAGCTACAGTATATGCAACAACAGTGATTCCCAGGCAGGGACATGCACACTGTATGACCCTGGATGTGAACACAGCCTTAGCTGTTGAAAACCAAACAAAAGCCTGACTTTAGTCTTTGGGGTTGATTTACTAAGGAAAATTATTTTTTCCTGTAGCTACGGAATTTTTCCTTAGCTTAGTAAATGCGGTGAAAATGCATTTTGCAAAGAATATCCAGGCACATGCAAGTAGAAGAAAAAAAAACACAGTATTCTTGCTCAAACATGATTGGATGATTGAAGTCAGCAGAGCTTCGCCTCATTCACATGCTAAGGGGAAATTGCCTTGCAAAGTGAACAGCCTTTGCCTTAGTAATAAAACAACTTTTTGAGGATCTTTGAGAATTAATTTTTTCACATTACATGCAGCTTTTGAGGTCAGTGAGAGCATGTTTAAAGCTCTTTTTATGTTTATTAAGAATATTTAAGTACTTTAATTCCATACTCTGGACAGTTTAGGTATAGAAATGTGTAAGTTATTGTCCTTTATTATTTCAGATAATTTATTCAAAGTAGTTTGTAGTAGTAGTGAAGTAATTGTGCACAGGGCTGTCTTTAACATTGATTAGACCCTGGGCAAACTTTTTCTTGGGCCCCCCGACCCCCATGCAAATTCACTCTCTGCCTGCTCTGAGATATACAATAAATATCAGCTAAACTCAAAATGAGTTTACTGCAGCAGATAAGGCAACAATTGCGATTGGTTGCCAGAGGTTACAGCATTTCATTACTGCTCACTGACTGGTTGCTAGAGGTTACAGCACATTTTAAGGCTCACTGATTAGTTACTAGAGATTACAGCACATGATTTCTTCTTGCTGATTGGTTGCTAGAGGTTACTGCACACCATTACCACTCACCCATTGGTTACTAGAGGATACTGCACATTCTTACCACACAGCTGATCGGTTTATAGAGGTTACTGCACATCATTACTGCTCACTGATTGGTTGCTAGAGGTAACTGCACATCATAACTGCTCACTGATTGGCTGCTAAAAGTTACTGCACATCATTACTGCTCACTGATTGGTTGCTAGAGGTTACTGCACAATATCACTGCTAACTGATTTGTTACTAGAGGTTACAGCACAACATTATTGCTCACTGATTGGTTGCTAGAGATTACAGCAGATCACTACTGTTCACTGATTGGTTGCTAAAGGTTAGTGCACCTCATTACTGCTCACTGATTGGTTTCTAGAGGTTACTGCACATTATTACTATGGGATCAGTGGCAGTGGTGGGGGGAATGGGGTAAGTGGTAGTGCTAGGGGGGATGGGATGAGTGACAGTGTTGGTGGGGGATTGGATCACTGGCAGTACTTTGGGATGGGATCATTGGCAATACTTGGGGGAATGGAATGAGTGGAAGTGCTTGGAGTGGATGGGATCAGTGGCAGTGCTGGATGGGGATGGGTGGTGATATTTCTACACCAACTACCAATGTTAGGGGGGATTTCAATGATGACCAATGTAAGGGGGATTTACAATGACCACCATTGTAAGGGCAAGTCTACACTTACCACCAACGTAAAGGGAAATTTACTCTGACCACCAATGTAATGGGGAATTTGCACTGACCACCAATGTAATGAAGAATTTACACTGACAACCAATGCAATGGGGAATTTTATACCAACAACCAATACATTTCTACACTGACCGCCAATGTAAGGAGGAATTTACACTGACCACCAACGTAAGGGAGGCTTCTACATGGACCACCATTGTAAGGGAGGATTCGACACTGACCACAAATGCAAGTTAATTGGCAATGACGTGTTTTCACATGCACCAGAATTCATGGTGCTGTGGCACTGTGTGGTTCAATGTGATTTTGAAAAAGTTTCAGGGACTTTTTTTCTGCATTTCTAGCGCATAAAGCAGCCTATTGGGCTGAATGGGCTGCCCTGCATATGACGTACAACTTTATTCACCCTGTCAGTACACCTTTGCATCCTACATTTCCCTGCTAATCTCTGCACCCCAAACCTCCCCCATCCTCTCCTCTCCAGACTCCCCACCTTAACGCTACAGGCCTCCTCTGCTCATCTTTGCACCCACCTTCCTTACCTCTGTACATCCCCTCCTTGCTCATCTGTGCACCCCAAACTGTAACTTCCTTTTCTGCCTACCTCTGCACACCCCACACCAACCCCGTTCCTCCACTTCACTTACGTTTGCAGAACAGACTAATGGTAGGCTCAGTGACCACAGTTGCAGGCAGGACTTTCAATTATGCTCCTGTTGATCTTCCCAGTGAGCAGCATTCAGTGGAGGTGATGGTGGTTGGAACCTCAGGAGGGCATAATATACATATGAATGCTGGTGCTATTTACATATGAATGTCACATCAGGGGCTATATTTACATATGAATGCTACCACTATTTACATATAAATGCTGGTTATTTGCATATGAATGCTGACACAGTCTGCACACATAAGTCATGGCAATAGGGCAGAGCTGGACAGCATAAGTCACAGCAATTCACACTGAGATATCTGGACACAGCCCAAGACTTCAAAGGACAAGGGGAATGTAAACTGGGACAGTTGGCAAGTATGGGGCAGCTGCTTTGGGCCCCACAGCAATGACTCGGCCCAGGGCAGTTGCCCCTTTTGCCCCTCCGTAAAGATAGCCCTGATTGTGCAAAGCAAGTCCTTGAATATAATATGAATCTTTTGTGTACCCTATGTATCCTTTTCTAACTGTTAGGCCCCTTTCTCAGGGGAGTTCCATTTGTCCATTTTCCATTCGTCTATTGATGGATACAAAACAGATAGAAATTAATTTATATGCACAAATGGAAATAAAGGGATGAGCATCCATTTACAATCACTTCCGATCAGTTCCATTTTTTTTAACGGAGCAGCCTGTGTCCGGATCTGCTGAAGCGGAACAGAACTGATTTAGACTGATGCAAACTGAACGGAACTGAACTGATATAAACCAATGTAAGGCCCCTTTCACACGGACAGTCCAATGGGGCTCGCCTGCCTGTTTTTCAGGCGGAGCCGATCAGAACCTCTATTTTTCTCTATAGAGTGACAGTTGTAAACAGACATGTGTCAGTTTACACCTGCAACATCCAATCCAATCTGATCTGCTAAAAGGAGGCAGATGGGGATCCATTCCCCTACCACCCATCAGATAGGATGGCAGTCGGATGGAAACAAGCAGGCAGTCATCTGACTGTCCATAGAGAACAGCGGGCTGTGCCTGTGTTCACTCTGCAGGATCAGTGGAAAGATTCCCCGCTGAGCAAGCAGATGCGCTGACGGGTCCGACTCGTGTGAATGGGGCCTAAATTGAACTGAATTGAACTAATATTAACTGAACTGAACTAAACTGAAGTACAAACTAATGTAAACTGAACTGATTTGAAGATGGATGTGCAAACTAATGTAAACTTAATCCGTTTTTTCTTTCAAAAAACGTGACTGAAAGGATAACGTCCATGTGAAAGAGGCCTTATGCAATCGCGGGTGTTAAACATACAACACATGTGGGTCAGGTGTGGACTGGATGATATGACTATAATAGGATATAAGGACAAACCTTACAACAATTCTTGGAATGTGTTTCTTTGATGTGTCCAGCTCTGGAGTGGAGGAAGTATTAGAACACTTGCTAGGATTTTACATCTATCTGGGATTTCCCCTCACTTAAATTCACAATGGCAACAGTATTACCAGACAAGAAGTGCATGAAATCCACAACAGGGACCCAGACAGCAATAATAATCTGACAAGGGTTTTAGCATTCACCTGCTCTACTAAAAATGAAACATTTTTACTTCTGTTTGTGTTGCTTGGCTGCATTATCATTAGTTTTAACTACCGGTAAATGAATTACATGACGTAAGGGATAGAATTTGTACAAAATAGCCTCATCTTTCAGGCAAAACTCTGTGAGAAAACAGTCCTGGATGTATGGATTATTTCATAGTGCACCAGTAATTGCTAGCTATTCTGCTTGTAGGGTAAAGCAGTTTATACATGGTACTTACTAATTTTGTTTCCAAAACACATGTCTCACTTTAAGACTGCTTTGACCATGGCCTTCTTTTTATATTACAAGGTAAATGTGTAACATATGCCATGTGTTTTATTTACATGAAGATTTACGTTCTGATATGGCTGACATAAATGTTATCAATCCATTAATCTATTTGAAATGACTTTTAACAGCCCTGATGCTGTAGGGCAGACTGTATCATGCTAATTATTTTGAGATGTTAAACTAGAACAAGTCCACCCTCATTAACATTTTATACACAAATATACAGAACTGCTTTGCTCTACCTTCAGTATAGCCCTGTGTCCTTTCACAAACTGGAATTTGTATTCTAAGTAAGGAGTAGAGGAATTCAATTATTGTTACATTTAGGTTCATAATTGTTTTAAGAATAATTGTATTTAAGAATTAGTAATAGATCATGATTCACAGTGATTTTTGGAAATGTAAGTTTCTAAATAAAAAATATATTTTAACGTTCAGCAATTTTAGGCTGATAAATGCATCCCAATGAACCTACCAGTTGCACAAAACATTTCTACTAAAATGTCTTGTGGTGTTTGAAAGTTCTCATACTTGCCTTCAGATAATTAACTTTGTGCCTGTGAAAGACAAGAGATACCGAACACAGACTATCACCAGGGCTGCTACTTCATTCCAAGTTGAAGTTTCGCAGGTGGTAGGGCTTAATACCAGAAAGAGGTAGGCTTTAAGAGAAATCAAGGACCTGGATATGACAGGTCTACTTTAAAGGACAATGT